AAGACCACCAGCCACTCAGAGGTAGTAAGGTGAGGTTGTCTACTACAGTAAAAATTCAGAGTCGGAAACCCCTAGGGGCAGTTCCAATCTTTCTGAAAGGGTCACTACGAGTTGGAATTGACTCAATGGCAGTAAGTATGGTTTTCTGGCTTCCTTGTAGTCTGAGTTTCCATTTCACCCAAGTTAACACCTGTCAATAGTTTCTAGCCCATTGTTTTATTTTCCAACTCCAACTACTTTTTAAGAATTTCCAATATCATATTCATTTAATTCTAATAGTTTCAGCAGGTATCTATACCCTCATTCAAATAACCCAAGATAAAATTACTTCGCTATATATTATGGTGATGTGAAATTTCTTAATATGGTTCTATCCTTAATCCCTTTTTGAAGGGAGATCTCTGTCACGCTGACAGAGGTAAACTCCATATCAAACTCACTGCCACTGAATCAAAGAACCCTAAGGGCCCTACAGGGCAGGACAGGACTGCCCTGTGGGCTTCCAAGGCTGTAACTCTTCAAGGGAGTACACAGCGCCCTTTCCCCATGGAGTGGCTGCGGTTACACACTACTGACCACAACCACCACGTAGGTTGTTTCCATCTTTTAACTATTGTGAAAAAATACTGCAATGAATATGAGTATGCATGTCTCTATTGGTGTAATGAGTCTTATTTCTCTAGGGTATAAAACCATTAGTAAGATTGCTAAATCATATGGTAGCGATGATCTTTTTAAGGAAGCCATACTTTTTTTTTTACACACAGCAGTTATGCCAATTTATAATCATAACAGCAGCACGAGTTCCAATCACCCCAAACTCTCACCAACACTGCTGTTTTCTGTTCTGGTTTCATTGCTACCATTAGATATGTAGGTTAAAGAGCACATTCCATTTAAGAGAACCCTGAAGTATCTGCCTCTCAATCTCTCACAATACTAGAGAGAAAAAAATGATTAATTTTTAAATTCAATTTTGTTTTGATTAATTCATTACAAAAGATGTTTAGACTACATTTACTTCAGTCTTTCTCTAAAACCATGTCAGTGAGTTAATAAGAAAGTGTATCTAAACTAAAAATCCTATTCTCCTATACTAAACTAATGTGACCGCTTTTAACTTAAAAATTTAGTAAGAGACACTTTGTAAAAAGAAAGGTTCTCCACACTGATTTAATTCGTGTATTTGATATCTTTTTAACAGAATACTTATTTAATACAAACTCAAGAAAACCCGAAGCAATGGGCTATGCTCCTGCGCAATCTGGAAGGGCTGATTGCTTCATTGCAGGTACAAACATGTGTCTGAAGTACCTGAAGCACGTTCTGAAAGCACATAGGTATATTTTTCATTTGTGGGTAAAAGAAAAATTAAGAGATTAAGTAAGTTTTCAGATGTTTAGAGTGGGGGAAGTCAAGGATAAAATATAGACTCTATGACTCTATACAGGTGCTCCCTTCAATAGTGCGTACCGCTGTTACACATGGCATCGTCTAAAGTCTAGCATAATTGTTAACGCCATGTGAAATTTGCAACTTCCGGGGAAAGCTTTTAGCGAAAGCTTCAAAAACTCCTGGTCTATGCTTTCTTCACTAACTAATGCCAACGCACGGTTCTGAAATAATCTATACTTACCATTTTGAATCATGTAATGTAAAATTTGTTCAATTATTGACACTACATAGCTAGCATCTTGTAAAACAGGCAAGTAAGTATTCTCAGAGGAAAATGTCTCAAGCATTCTCATGGGAAGGGCAACATTCAAACTGTCATCATTACACTTTTGTAGTAACCTGTGAAAGGGGAAAGGAAAAAAAAGTATTCACACTTGTACCGACTGACAAATGTTACCAAAAAGTTATCTCAAGTTATTCTCTGAACGATGGCAAGTTATAATACAATACTATCTCTGAAAGCAGGTGGCACTTGGAGATTGGGAGAAGTTGGCACCACCTCCTTCGGAGGTGCCATCTTGACTTTCCCAGTCTGCAGTACCCTCTATGCTTGACTAAAACATTCCTTCTTACTACGAGGAGAATTATAATAAAAAGTTGTATAGAAAAAGAAAAGGTTTCATTGTCACACAATAGTCTTTTTTTTAAAAAAAGATTTAATTTTCTTACAATCGGTGTTATAGACATAAAAACATGCATTAATCTACATTCATTTAAAGTAGGCAATACTTGAGTTTTGACAGATTAAAGCACAATCAGTATGCAGAAATAGCTATCTTATATCTGTCACCACCAAGTTTCCTTTGACCCCTCCTGTCGATTGCTCAGAGAAGCACTGTTGGGGAAGTGCTGGGCTGCTAATGCCAAGGACTGGGGTTCCAACTCACAAGCTGCTCTGCCTGCGAAAGATAACACTCTCTGTCCTAAGCCACAGTCGCAGACGCCCTACACAGGACACCTGTGAGTTGGAATCAACTCGATAGCAATGGTTTTAGTTTTGGGTTAGTCGAGTCCCCATTCTAAAACCCCTAACCACTTCTTTCCACTACAGATGAGGCTGTGCTTTCTAATATTTCATTAAAAATCCTATAGTATTCCCTAGATTTCTTCACTCAGCATCACTCGTAGACTCACTTATGTACCTTCTGTCAATCATCTGATCTTTTTATTGGGGAGTAGAACTGTGTACTTCAAGTATAGCCACCCGTCAGTGCTATGTTGCAAACAGCTTTTGGCAGAACTGCCATGCTAGGAAGAACTCAGATGAAAGGTCTGGCTATCTACTTCTAGAAAAGAGCCTCTGGATCAGCCCTGTCCAATCCCTAATCCACCAAGAGGATGGCACAGAAGCAGGCAGCATTTGGTCTCATTGTGCACACACAGTGGCATCAGCCAGGGAGGCAGGGCAGCTCAGTGGCAATGGAGACCCCTTTTAACTCAAAAAATTTGCAAAGTGGGCAAGCATCACCAGAAACACCTCAGATACATCACGTTTGATTTTAAACTAATTTTTAATCACTGTGAATTCAGAAACCTTTTATTGTTGCCAAAATTTTTTTGCTACCTCCACATAAATTAATTCTACCTCGTAGGGCATCACAATTCAGTTTAAGAAGCTTTGGGGTGTCAATGGCTAAAACAATCAGCTGCCAACTGAAAGGTAGTTAAATCAACCCAGAAGTGCCTGGAAGGAAAGCTTGTCAATTGATTTCAAAAAATCAGCCATTCAAAACTATGGAAAACCGTTTTCTATTCTTGCCATAAATGGGGTCCACATGAGTCGAAATCAACTTGGCAGCCATGGAGATTTTAGTATCCCATTAAACAGAAATATCACATTTTGATCATACATTCACACTGATGGACATTTGTATCATTTCCAGTTTTTTGCTGTTACTAATAAAGCTGCTTTAGCCATACAAGAACAGGTTTCTGAGCACACCCGTGTATCATTTCTTTTGGATGAATATCTAGGAAAAGAATTGTTGGGTCATGTACCACCCAATCCACTGTCACTGAGCCTGTTCTGATGAAGTCACTATATAATATTTAACTTTATGAGAGACGAATGGGCTGTGCCAGGAACACAAGATAATCTCGATGCTCTGTACTCTTAACACTTGATATTGTCAGTGTTCAAACTGCTACCCATTCTCATGAGTACACAGCTTTATCTCGTTGTGGGCTTAATTTGTATTTTCCTGGTTATTAATGACGTTGAGTATCTTTTCAAGTGTCTGGTGGTCATTCCGATCGAAGTCTACTTTCCTATAATGCCTTCTCAAAGATTTTATCCAATTGGCTCCTTTGCCGATTGGATAAATCATTCTCCCACTATATAAGACCAAGGCTGTAAGCCCGTTATCAAAAAGAATTTTAGTACATAGCTTGGTTTGATTTGGGGGTCTTCTTACTCACAAAACCAATAATTGGTTTGACAACAAAAATCCCTGACTAAAATTCATCATTCACCAACTTCTCTTTCACCTGGAATCGAAAGTCCTTTGGAACTAAGGCTTAGTACATTTTAATCCCAAGTCAATCTACCAACCAACAAAAACCCAAACCCACTGCCATCAAGTAGATGCCAACTACTCTAGCATTCTGAAGGGCAGCATTCTGAAGTGCTTCCTAGGAGTTGCTAAGGCTGAAAATCTTTACAGAAGCAGACAGCCTTGTCTTTCTCCCCTGCAGGAGCCACTGCAGTTAGCTACTGACATGGCAGCTAGCTGCCCCAGGCTTATCACTGGTGTGTTTTTGTTTGTTTGTTTGTTTAAGGGGGCACACCCCTGACAAAATTCAATCACGCATACTCATCAATCTTGATTATGCAGTGAGATCCAATTTTTGACTATACAATGGGGCCAATAAGACGTTGAGTCCAGAAGCTGAACTGGAGAGAGAACATCCGTACAGAAGAGGACTGCTCAAAACTTGGGAAAGTATCCTGTGGCAGGAACCCTCCCCCACCGCATCCTGTCTGTCTCTTTGTATACTGTCTGGCTATAGTAAAGGGGTAACTGCAAGTATAAATACTCTCCAGGAATTCTGTGAATTAATGAACCCACAGGGGCAATGAGAACCAGTAAGGAACGGCCTCAATGACTACCTGGCAGTCCAAAGGGCAGAGTCTTCACTTGTGTGCTTTGACTTGGATTGGGGGGCTAAGATCGGAAAAGTGGGGGAGGGAGAAGCCACTCTAAAAAGCAGAGTTCTTCTGAGACCACGTGTGGGAGGCTAGTGGCGGTGAAAAAGTATGCCGCTTGGGCAGCGGATGGTGAGGACTGATCCACTTCCAAGTGGGAACTGGATTCATGGAAATTGGATTCAAGCTTTTCCATAGTTAACAATGAAGAGTGGGGTTAGCAGCAAAGGTAGGGTTTTGCTTTAACTACCCCTTGCTCATTAGTGCAGGTAGGACAGACAACAGGTGGCCTGCAAACCCCAAACTATTTACTGCTTTACAGAGTACGCTTGCTAATTCCGACTGCAGAGAATAAATCAGTGTTATGGAGTGTTTTTCAAAATGAAAGCTTCCAGGGAATAACAGAATTAGAGTTCATGCTCTTCATGGTTCTTGTTCTACTATCTTTGGCTCATTAAAGTATTTTGGAAAGATCAGTTAAAAACAAGAAAAGTGAGTTGGTTATTTTTAGTATCTCAACTGTGGTTGATTTCCTCAATAAATTTTAAGACACGTGCAGCTTCCATGAAATTATATTAAAGATTCCGAAACATTTGAAAATGCCACCACAGATGCAGATATAAGCAACTGAAACCAAAATCAAAAGCCATAAAAAGATATTACCTTAGTTTCTCATGCAGATAATAACCCAAAATAAAAATAACCATCAAGTTGATTACAAGTTGTTACGACCTTATTCATTTCTGAGACTATAAATCTTTCTGGGAGTAGAAAGTCTCCTCTTTCTCTCGTGGAGTGGCTGGTGTCTTTGAACTGCTGTACTCGCAGTTAGTAATCCAACATGTAACTCACTACACCACAGGGCTTCATGCAGAGCTCACTATATTAACATCATAGTCCTGACTTACTCTTAATGTTTATACATACGTTAGACCACATGATAAACCACATACTCTAAAGAAGTGATTTTCAAATTGCACTTCAGAAGAAATCCTTAGAGAACAGAAATCATCATCAGGTGTCCAATCAGGATATCTAACATTTCACAAAGTAATTCTAGGGTATTCTTGAAATATCATTTGGAAGCTATATATATTAATTTCTTTGTCATGCAGATCAGAATCCAGAAGTGAAAATTGTATAATGCAGTCTCAAACACAACTATGGAAAACCACAATCTCAGAAAATGAAAATCACAAAGTATTCCTCTAGCCATTCAGAGATCACTGTTACAAAATGTTCCTGACAAGGCTAGAATTTACCTGCAACATAGGCTCATCAACCGCTTTATTTGAAATAAACACGTAAGTCTCTCAGACCCATCCAATTGCTTGACAAACAGAGAACTGTATTTAATTAAATTCTGGTACATCCATATCTGAAACAGAAAAACGCACCATATAAAACTTTCAAGCCATAAAAATGTAAGTTTATTAACGTTCATAATTTTCTTTGAGGACTCATATCTACTTTATCAAATCTGGTAGGGAGTAAGTTTTCTAGGTCAGGTTTTACTTAGTATATGCCTAATGCTTTAGATTTCTCATACTAACATAACACAGGTTACATGCAGAAACACTGCGACCAGAGCTCCAGCCCGTACATGAATGGGTTTATTTCAAACAAATCGCGTTCAAGCATGTCTCTGTGATCAGCGAATAGCTACAAACAAAAACCAAAGCTCACTGCCATCGAGGCAACTCTGACTCACAGCAGCGCCCACAGGACAGGGCAGAATGGACCCTATGAATTCCCACGGCTCTAACTTGGTTTTCCTCCTGAAAATTTTTCATTCATGGCTCTCTAATTCTACCCATGCCCTTACTTTTCCACAAACAAATACTAATTCTGGCCCAGCAGGCAATCACATGGTTCTCTTCTTCCCAATCTAAGGTCAGGTGAGTTACCAGATTGGTCAGAATTCCTCATCCTCCTTGTTTGTGATTCATCAATGATTTGAACAAACGTTACATTAAATTTCTGTTGCTTGCATCTAAGAGTTCCTGACTATATATTATGCATGTAGGTGACATAATAATTTGAAAACCCAATACCTAGCAAGATAGCTCATCCATTTTCTCCACTACATTCTCATGAAACAGCATGTTATTTTATATTTTCATTTCACAGATCCCATTTAGAATTGGCTGAAATGAAAAAAAGCTTCTTAAATGTGGCTAGTTGTAAATTTGACACATAAACCTTTCTGCGCCTGTTATCTTTACCTCAACAATAAAATGACGTTCTTGTACTATTAAAATATTATTGTAAAACAAAGGGTTTTGCATTAACAAATTAGAGTATGTCATGAAGTGGTAGTAAGTCTGTGGCCCACTCTGAATAATAATAATTAGTTATTCTTTTCCTTAAAATGTTTTGAGCTACATTATGCATATTTCCAGAGGAACCAGTATGACACAAATACTTTCTGCATTGCCCGACATATAATTCATCTTAAAATATAGAGTATGTTCTACCAAATCAGAATAAAGCATATGTAAATACAAGCAATCCCACTCACACTGTGGTTCTATGCCCCATTCTAGAGTGGTCTGGTGCGAGGCAGTTCTAAGTTGAACCTTTAAAATTTTTATTACCCCCTCTTTTTGAAGTTTCACTATTGCAGTTTATTATCGATATATTTATAAATCTGATATCTGTCTTTAGTAATTGAAAACAGGAGCCCTGGTGGCTAGTGAGCTACACATTTGGCTGCTAACCTCAAGGTCAGCAGTTCAAAGCCACCAGCTGCTCCCTGGGAGAAAGATGCCTGAGACTTCCTACTCCTGTAAAGAGTTAGTCCCGGAAACCAGAGGCAGTTCTGCTCTGTGCTATAGGGTCACTAGGAGTCAAAATCAACTCAATGGCAGTGAGTCTGGGTTTAGTTGGTTTATCATAGATAAATCTTATCAAGCACTCCAAACCAAGACCAAACTCACCACTGTCAAAAGTTGATTCCAAACAAAACCAAACCAAACCAAAAAGAAGTTGATTCCAACTCGTTGTGGCCCTGGAACAGAGTAGAAGTGGCCCATCCTTCTTCCACAGACAACTGGTGGCTTAAACCGCTGGCCTTGAGGCTAGCAATCCAACGAGTAACCCACTGGCCACGAGGGCTCCTTTACATCTAAGATACCATCAGCAAATTACATGCTGCAACACTGTATGCAGTACTTATTATTAATGGTAAAATCTAACAAAACAACAGATGGTCAGGAGTACAGTTTATTGGGACACAAATGCACGGAAAGTCAGGGTCTTCCTGTATTAACAGCTAAAGGGGGATTACAGGAACTACAAGAATAAGGTTCTAACTATATTAACTAGATAAGCATCAAGTTGTTTGTGAAATAAATAGGAATTCAAAGTTGTTATATTAGAACACTTATCAGTACTTTTTAAACATTTAGAAATCTTCCATAATAAAATCAAGAAACAAATCCTATGATCTTATTCCCACAAGAACGATCAATTACAGCTGGCTAAGGAAAAATTCACAAAGCTACTAGACATGTTAGAGGGATTATTTGACTCTTTCTCAGACACTAACAATTTCCACTTTTGTTAAATAACACAAGTGTGTTAGACACATCTATGAGATAGGATTAAGTGAAAATGTAGTTAACACTCACCAAACGTTTTGAGTCTTCATTTTGTTTGTAAAAAAACAGAAGCTGCCTTACCAAAAGGGTAAGGTTGGGACCATTAGCAATGGTAAAAGTGCTACCAGACTGTGACAAATTAGCACAACGATCAAATGCACCTCTTTGGATAGAATACTGAAAACAAAACAAAATAAAAATGTAAGTTTATTAAATTGGTCTACAATGATAATTCTCTAGTTATACGCTTCCACCGCTAGTCATAGTTTTCAGAGACTAATCCCTCAGAGGAGGCCAGTTTAAAAGTTGGGGGTAAATATTTTATAGGCATGTTGAATATTGACAGCTAAGATAGTTACGGTGGAGTTATCAGTACATTTTAAAAAATAAACGAATGGCTCTTAACCAACACAAAAAATTTTCCACTGCTACCTTCTAATATGATCATCAAGTATGGGTGGCACATGCCTGTAATTTATCAAGTAAAAATTATCTAAAATTTTACCTAATTATAAATGCTTCAATAACTAATAAAATTAATGAATGAAAAGTACTACTATTAACATTAACTTTCTCTCAACAGATACACAAGGATACAAAAACTCACTTGCTGTTTTCTGTCTCTATAGCCTCTAATAAATGACTGGATAATTATTGCATTTTTCAATCTTCGCCTTTCTTCCTGAGTAACAGAGGGAAAGGGCAAAAAAATCAGTGTCAGAGTCAGTAAAAGAAAAAACATATTATGAGTAAAATCTTTAAAAAATAAAGAAAAGTCTATATTGAAACATAATCCATACCATACAATTTACTCTTAACATATGTGAGTCAGTGATTTCAATGTATGCTTAAAGCTGTACAATGACGACACTATGATTTTAGAGTACCTTGTCAGCCCATAAAGAAACCTCATACTCAATCACAGTCACTCCCCATTTTCTCTTGTGTCCAGTTCCTGGCAACAATGGATCTCCTTTGGATTTACCTGTTCTAGACATGTGATATAAACAGAATCATAGTTTGTGTGGTCGGTTGTGTGTCTGACTTATTTCACTTAACATAATGCTTTCAAGGATCATCCACTCATCAGTACTTCATTCCTTTACAGCTGAATAATATTCCATCGTACAGAAAAGATCATAAAATGCTCATCCATTTATAAGTGGATGCACACTGCAGTTATACTCACCTCTTTGCTATTATAATAATGCTACTATGACTATCCATGTGTACATTTTGGTGCAGACACTATGGGCCTCTACCTAGGAATGGAATTGCTGGATCACACACCCCTGTGGTTACACATTTTGGGCTGCTAACCAAAAGATCAGCAGTGTGAGGACAAGCCTGGACAGACATATAATCTCAGAAACCCACAGGGGCAACACTGCTCCATCCTACAGGGCTCACTATCAGTCAGGATTGACTCAAGTGCAATGGGATAATTATATGTTTAATATTTTAAGGAGCTGCCAAATTGTTTTCCAAAGTGGCTACCCAAAACAATACCTAATACAAGACTTGAAAAGAGTATGAGGTGTAAACATAAGAACAATATATAAAGGATCTACATATAACCTCCTCCCTGGGGATGGACAACAGAAAAGTGGGTGAAGGGAGACGTTGGACAGTGTAAGATATGACAAAATAATAATTTTTAAATTATCAAGGGTTCATGGGGGGTAGGGGAGTGGGGAGGGAGGGGGGAAAATGAGAAGCTGATACCAAGGGCTCAAGCAGAAAGAAAATGTTTTGAGGATGATGATGGCAACAAATGTACAAATGTGCTTGACACAATGGATGTATATATGGTAATGAGAGTTGTACGAGCCCCCAATAAAATGATTAAAAAAAGGAAGAAGAGCAATATAAACAGAAAATAACTACTTCAAAGGCTACTTTCTTCTTTCAAGGAAATAAAAACTTTTCAATATTCACTGACTTGAGACTATCTTTAACATTTTCAGTGACCTAATAAACAATTTATTGTTCTTCATTATCATAACTATTGCAGCTACCGCTGAATTAAAAGTCTACTGTATGCCATCCTTGGAGCCCTGGTGGTACAGCGATTATATGCTGGGCTGCGATCCACATGGTCACCACATGGTCAGCAGCTCGAAACCAGCATCAGCTCCGTGGGAGAAAGCACTGGTTTTCTACCCCTATAAACAGCGACCGTCTCGGAAGCCCACTTCCGAGTCGCTGTGAGTCAGCACAGACGCTGGGGGCAGTGAGTGAGTGTGGGAATGATACGCCATCCTTCGGAGGCACAGTGGTTGTAGGGATTACAAATCGGGCTGTATCTACAGGGTCTGCCTACTACCGGAGAGAATTATCGTCTCAGAAACCGACAGTAGCAGCTCTACACTGTCATTTATGAGTTAGTCTCTACGAGTGGACATCGACTCTAAACATCCTTATTGGAGGCACTTCATGGTACTCTCACAAAAATGTCCGTCTTTCTCCTTTTTTCTTCTTCCAGGGAAGTATTTTAGTTCCCCCATACAGAGACACATTATACAATGTTAATCATGAAAAACAATACAAAATGTCCTCAATTTAACAAGAAAAAATGTAACTAATATATATGGCATTATGAATCTGACACTGGACAGAAAAAATTTATGGATTTTACAAATCAATTATACCACTAAAATTGTCCTCTTTTTTCTTCATCTTCCCTAGATGGACACCTGAGCTTCAACAAGAAAAGTCACCACCGTGGCTGACTGAAAACCAGCACAAATGTTCTGCCCACCAGTGCAAGCTCATTGAAATCATCATGCAGCTTCTTGAGTAGTTTGGGGTTGACATGTTTTACATCATCTATGAATGATATCTACCAGGCTTGAAATGTACATAAAAATTCACTCACACAATCATGGGATTTGAGGCTTCCATCAGAACATTCAAGTGTACTCTGGGTTTAAAATAGTTATAATAAGAGAAGCCCTGAGCTTTAAGTTTTAGAATATATTGGTTACTACAATGATCATTGTACCTAATTAAAAGTTTATATAGCTTCACGGATTTTTAATTACTTAATTTTATCCATTCGGTTGTATACAAGGAGGCACTAACACCTCCAGGCTTTCGGCTGGAACCTAACGATCTGGATCTTAGGAGTAATGCTGACTTAGAAAGAAAACAATGCTCAGCTACAAATCAACTCAATTCTGTATTATTTAAATGTGATTTATCCCAGCTCCCACTCCCTACCAGAGAAGATCTTCTGGATTTGTCATTCACAATGTCTATCACTCAAGCAAAAATAATCAGTCATATAAGTCAAAAACTGAAAAGAGGACAAAGAGGCAATGAAATCAGACCCACAGGAGATCTGGATACTGGAGTTTAAACACTCTCATTATAACATAAAATTAATATGTTCGAGAAACTAAAAGGTACAACTATGGAGAAAATATAAAAAAATACGAGAAAATTCTAAAACTGAAAAACATAAAAATAAAATTAAGAAGACAGTGGGTGTATTTAACATCAAAATTACTAAAGAAATAATTTATACTTTCAAAGTTAGACCAGAAGGAAATATCCAGACAGAAGCCCAGATATTCAAAATGATAGATGGATATATGCTCACTGCCCCTCGAGTCAATTCCGACTCATAACAGCCCTACAGGACGGAGTAGAAGTGTCCCTGGGGGTTCTGGGACCTTAAATGCACAGGAGTACTCAACCTCATCTTTCTCTCTCACCGTGGTGGGCTCACCCTGCTGATCTATGATTGATTACCAGATCACCGTGCAACACAGTACACCACCAGGGTTCCTACCCTGTACAAGACACTATGAGACTGGTAATTCTTGTCAATGGGGACTATCCTGTACAATGGATAGTCTCCAGTGACAAAAATTTATCTGGAACATACATACTATCAATGGTTCAAAGTTTGGGGAACCATGTTTGAGTCTTTACATGTTTTTTCCTTTTACCAAGAAAGCCCTTCCTTCAGTTTGTCACAAGGCAGCTTTTTTCTCATCTTTTAGGAGTTAACTTTCTGAGTCCTTTTCCTAGCTACCATGTCTAACGAAGGCCTTCTCAGTTACTATCACACTGCTCTGTTGCTTCCATAAGCAGAGCAACTAACCGCAAGTTGGATTCTCATCTTCTACCACTAAGAAGGAACCTTGTTTGTCTTATTATCTGCCAAACCAGGACAGTGCCTATCACATAATATGCTTCCAACAAATGTATAAATTCTAAAACAAAACAAAAAAATCTCCACCTAGAGCAGGGTTCCTCAAACTTTTTAAACAGGAGGCCAGTTCACTGTCCCTCAGACCCGTTGGAGGGCCGCACTATAGTTAAAAAAAAAAAAACTATGAACAAATTCTTATGCACCCTGCACATATCTTATTTTGAAGTGAAAAAACAAATGGGGCCTGAAGATAATCAAGACCTGAATATAAACAAGCAGCCATCTAACTGAGAGACAACAAAACCCCAAGGAAGAAGCACATCAGCCTGTCCCTACTGGATCGCTGAGGACAAAGGGGGTGTATTAGCAAAAGTGGTGAAGAAAGTTGATGGTACCCGGCTATCAAATGATATAGCATCTGGGGTCTTAAAGGCTTGAAGACAAACAGGCGGCCATCTAGCTAGGAAACAAC